TCTTCAGTACATCTTATCCTACACAGAAAATGAAGATGCCATTATTGGATTGGCAGGATTTGCAGTCGTTTGTGTGTTTGTTTTCTTGATTGCAGTAGGTAAGTTTTACTTCTTGCACAAGGCTCCTATCTTTCTTCTTTAAAACGTCCAGGACTGAATTTTTGCTTATTTATCAGGAAGAATATACCTGGGAATGCACAGCTTGATTGACATCATTGGGGGTCTAGCTTTCGGATTGGCAATCCTGGCATTCTGGCTCTCTGTTCACAAATACATTGATGATTTCGTAGTCTTGGGGCAAAATGGTATGAGTGCTGCTACCTGTTTTGAATTTGCTTTGGTCTTAAATGGATATGGAGTCAGGTTCTTAATGTATTGGCATAAAGGTTCTTAATGTATTGGAATCTGTCGGAAAATCCTCTTGTTCCTCATATATCGGGTGTTATAACCTCAGAGCTGGATGAGAGAAGACATAGCTCTTTGCACCAATATCAATGGTAGATTTTTGGACGGCCTTTTGCGGACTTTCTTTGAGTTCTTTCATAATAAAAGAGTATAGATCAGTCATTACAGAGATATATTCGCTTTAAGTTCCCTCTTGAGCATGAAGATGCCCTGTGCTCTGCTTCTATATCATTTTCCCCTGAATCCTAATGAGGGCTAAGTTGCGCGGACTCTTCGATTTTGATGTCGTCCCCGTCCCGATACGAGACAGGGAGCGGGATACGTCCCGGATACGGTCAACTGACTTCAGACGCTTTGACCGGAGTCCATCGACAAATTTGGGAGAAAAATTGAGATTTTGATTTCTCAAAATAAAAAATAAAACAGATTTAGGAGAATGAAAGAATAATGTCCATCTTGGAGAGTGAAAGATTGAATTCTACAATATTCATGTAAGTTTTTCACAGCATATCTCTCAAAATTTACAATATTTTTATAGCTCTATTTTTCTTAGCCGAATCCCCGTACCCGTATCCATATCCGGATCCACACCCCTGAATCTTAAAATTTAAATTTTGCCGAATCCGATACTCGGATCCGTCCCGTATTAGATACCCGCACCCGAGTCCGAGCAACTTAGAATGAGGGGCTTTGTCAGTATTAGGTTCTTATCAAGGATTTGAATGAAAGTTTGATATGGGTAGACTGAACCTAACTTTTAATAATGCCCATATTCAGCAGCAATTTCTATCGAAGAGCAAATATTTTCTGCTTACAATCTGATGCTATTAAGATAGCTTAATTTGTATGTGCAATTTTGTCTCCTAACAATGCTTGTTTTATCCCTACCAGACAATTTGAAAGAATTGTGTTCTTCGCATAACCCCCAAAAAATTCTATGCTGGGAAAGTTAGATGCTTCACCTTGGTTAACCCCAGTGCTTCAGTGCGGGCTGAATACAACACTAAACAAGAAAATAGAGATAGCAAGGATATACTAATTGTTAAGGAAAATTTATTGATGAATGTTAATGATAAGGTAGGAAGATTTGAAGTTTAGTAAAAGAAAATTAGTCAGTAATTTGAACTAGGAACTTGCATCTGAATCAGAAATTTAAAATGATCTTTGAATTTGATTTACATGGTTTGTAATTTTTTGGTCCGTATAAGTAGTGAATATATTTACAATTATTATTTTGCAATATATGTTTTAATCTATTTCTTTCATTTGCGCTTTTTTCCGCTAATGCTCATGCTTTAATTGCTCTTAAAGTCTTAATAGGTGTTTGGCGCTTTTCTATGCTTTTTGCCTTTGATTCACTGGAAAGAACATTGGTTATGAGAAAATTCTATCTTTTGATTATTTAAGATAGAAGAAAGTCGATTCTTTGACAAATGGGAGTTTGTCTGCTGTTCTGAGATTTGGCATCTTTTGCAGTTTCATCCTTCTGGGCTGTGCTTAGCTTCTTATTGCTCTTTGCTTACCCAACACCAGAGATACCAACTCCAAGTTTTGAGTTCCACACAGCCTTCAATGGTGTGGCATTGGGAATTGTAAGCACACAACAGTATTTCCTTGACTTTATCTTGTGAAGTTCATTTTTCTTCTTCCACCTATTCCTTTGTTGAGACCTCCCACTGAAATTTCTGTTCATTGACCAGATTGTTTCAGTATGTTTGCATAAAATTTGTACAACTGAAAAATGACTGTGTAGAGAAAAATGTGGGCAACAGTTATATCTCGGTGCTTAGCATATGATTGTAATATTTTGCTTCTCCTGATTCATAGTTCATGTTAATCAGTTATCTAGATATATAAAAAAAGGTGATATTGTTTTGCGAAGTTACTTCTTCTGTTCTGCTTTTCTCCTTGATGAGTTAGTCAGAAGGTAGTCGTCTATCTACAAAGTGATTGTCTTTGGACAATTTGTTGGAGAAGGTGGACTTTCGACTGTTGAATCCAACATTTTCTTTTACTCTTAGTAAACTTGTTATTTGTCGCACTTTGACTTGTATGATTAACATGGTTCTGTTGGTAGTCATGAAACTCCATTTAAATTGAATGACTAATAGTGCAAAGGCATCTTAGTATTAAATATTGGTGCGGGTAGGCTGTCCCGAATTAGAAGCCATTTTGTGTTGCTACCTTGGTCGTGGTAGCCAAAAAATAAAGAGTATGCATGCTATTTATTGTCTATCAACGAAACAACTAGATATGTCAAGGAGTAGCATAAGTATCCTGTGTCCAATTCCTCCTCTCATATTTCGTTCGCATAGCTATTATTTAAGCAAAAAATGGAATAAGTAGAATTGCTGGAGAGAGGGAGAGAGAGGTGTCTGCTCTTTTCCTCGTAGGTCCACAGTCAATCTTAACCTGTGTCTTCTGCTCAAGCGCCATCCTTTTTGATTCCTACTCCTGTTTACATTCCTGCTCAACACCTCACTCTCTCTGGGGATGAGGGCTAATAATCCTGTAGACCTTAGTTATTGTGGATTCAAATGTTTAGGACTGAGGAAGAATTACTTGGTATTGGTTTTCTCTATGAGAGTTCACGTAATGAATTTCTTTCCTTTTGTTCTAACTTTTGGCAAGGTTACTGGCAGTAATTTGCTTTTAGTTATGATGCATGTCCTTGTGCTCTGCCTTTTTTTTGTTTTCTGGACGTAAGAAAGGATGAAATGATCTCTTATGAATAGGGTACAGGGTAATTGCAAGTATCTCTAATTTCATGAAAAAAATTCTTCTGTCCAGGTAATTGGCGTCCAGCAGACATATCATCAGTTCCATCATGAGAGTGTTCCTCGTATCTTCACTCCCGATCTTTCCTTTCCTGCATTTTTGGGAAGAATGCTAGTAGGATATCCGACTATACTCCTTGTGAAGTTCTGTAGCAAGGCTCTTGCCAAATGGATGCTTCCCATACTTGCCAGTGCGTTGGGTATCCCAGTGAGATCAACCAGCTACGTCCCATCACTAAGCTTTTCACCTTCCGCTAAAAAGTCAGATGAAATAAAGCAAGCAGGTTATATTCAAAAGCTATTCTTTTTCTCCCATCAGGACTCGTTTGACGTGGATACTGGTATAAGGCTTCTTCAGTACACTGGTCTTGCATGGTCTGTGGTGGATCTTGTGCCTTCTCTATTCTCTCACCTAAGCCTATGATGCTTGGTATATCATGTATAATAGAACATATTTTTTGTGTTGATATGTAGGAATACGTTCTTAGCTGACCATATTGACCTCTTGTATGTCAATTTTGAACATGTATAATATATCATTACTAATGAAAATGAGGTATATTCTGCGGGTTCTGAAAGCAATACTAGCTGCTTTGCTTGTCTCATCTCAATTCAAAGAGGATTGTTTGATCTGTAGAGAGATAATTTGAAAAAATTTATCCCCTATTTAGTTCAAGGATCAGGTATGGGATAATTGTTGGAATTAGATTTTCTTATGTGATATACAAATCTATTATTATTAGCAACTTAATAACATTTAATTCGGACAACAAAAAACATATAAAAATAGATGATGTGGTTTAGTTGTGCTGATTTAGCGATGCTCTTTTGCTTTCTCTTTACTCTAAAAGTAAATAGAATATTGAAAATCATTGAATTTGTTTGTTCTGATACAAGAGATTGACCCGAAAACAAGATATGGTAGGTCTTGAAGATCACGGTGGTGAATCGTGTGATGGGAAACCTTCCTGCATAATTCAACGCGCGCTGAATTAGAGTGGGAGATTTACCACCTTATCATTGCATGCAAGTGTTTTTCAATAAGGAAAAGAGAGAAGAGCAGCCGATTTAATATATTAAACCCTGATTCGATCTTCATATAATAGACATTTGTGGTTCGGCCCTTCCCCGGACCCCGCGCATAGCAGAGCTTAGTGCACCAGGCTGCCCTTTTATACTTTCCCGGTGTCATAGGTTACCTTTATATCTTCCTCTGCCATGACATGCCAAAGTAGGCTGTCCACTTTTGTGTGATTCATGAAAGCAAGGCTGTCACACTCTTGGGTATTCGGCCATATACTGAAGGGTATCCGAAAGCTACTTCTATCCCGATTTTTGAACTTTTCTAGTATCATTAGGTTACTTTTCCATCTTCCTCTCCCGTGACATACCTAAGTCGGTTGTCAACTATCACATTTACTGGGATCCGGGCATGGTAGGGTCTTTATCCTGAAGCTAATACAGGATAAAAGAGGTAGAAGTGGAGGTAGGGTTGGAGGTAATATTTGTGAAATTCTCTAAGTTCCAACCCAGTTCCAACAATGCACTTATGGGCACATCATTTGTAGGGGAAAGCGGAACTGCTTGACGCTGTATGCTAAATACAACAAGCCCGATTCACATCATTATGCTCAATAAAAGGAACAACTCTTCAGTAACCCACGGTGATCCGACCCCACCGACGCTTTTTTCGTTGTATACCCCCTCCATCCTTCGGAAGTGGAAGAAAGGGTACTCTAATTTGAATACATAGTAGGGCCCCAAAACGCTTATGTTTTTCCTTTTTAATACAAAGAACTAGAAAATTTGTAATCCATGTAGAAGCTGAAGAACCCTAAACATTTTTCATGGTAGACTTACATTGAAGTGATATTACATCAGTGATTTGATTTATTAATTGAAATGATATTACATTAGTGATTATCAGGAAGTTCTTTTTAAGTATGATTTTGTCCGGAAATCACAAGTCTATACTTCTATTACAGTAAGATGCAGAAACTTAAAGGAGCACACTGGGATTAACTGCATGATCCTCTTCCTTTCATCACATGCTTCCTTAGCCCTGGAATGTGGACGTTAGAGATGTAATCTTTCCAATCTATGCTCTCTACATCAAATCCAAATTGCCATCTTTCTTCTTTAGACATGCATTCCATCAACCTCTGAGTATTGCTGTTGTCAAATCTGGAAATTTTGGAATTTTCATTTAGTGTCATGACAAACTTTATATATGCATAGGGTTATGTTTTTAAACTCTTACCTTCCTCCATAGAAAGTGTACGGTTCATAGATATTAGCCAAGTACTTTGCTTGCTCCACTGACTTTCTACAGATATTCTCAAGTTTCTTGGACAAGTTGCTGTTTGGATCAGCCAAATCTGTTAGGCCACTCCTGTTAATGGCGTCTTGCCAAAGGTGGGATGACAGGTCCTCCATGGATCTCAGCAGCGTCATCTTTGGAACATGAATTGGTCTTCCTTTGGAATCAATGTATGGTGAACGATTGAAGTGATCAAATAGCATTCTTGCCAAGTCCTTGAAGACTAATGGATTTACAGCAGATGAAGCAACCTGGTAAACACTACTTCCTGGTTTTCCTTCTGTCCCATGTTTTGCCATGGCTGCCAACGTTGCATTCACAACCATGTCAGCTGGAACCTATAAGAGACATAGAAATAATGTTGATTACACACTACCCTTTATATTAGGATTAAAATTGAATCAGTGGATTGAAGAACTTGCCACATCAAGAACCCCATTAGGGTCTACAAGAAATCCTGTGAGCTGCCCTTTACCATAGTACAAAATGATTGGATCCATCATCCTGCATAAGATTTCAAGGTTAATATTATTCGGAAATTACATTAGCTTAAGGTAAATGGAGGTCTTTTAGGTTAAGTAGAATACCTGCTCCCTTCCATCCATCCTGGAAATGGTTCCTTGTAGGTGCTTTCAATGACACTTGGTCGAATAATAACTACCGGAATATCACCTCTCATACTGTCTATCATCATCTCTCCCATTGCCTTTGTGAATACATAAGTGTCTTGCCAACCAAATTTGTTTGCTCTGATCAGTTCAAAACTCTTTGTTAAGCAAATTGTGTTTACATATTTCTTAAAGTTATAATGAAGCAAATGTCTAGTGTTACATATACCTCTCTAAACCAATTTCTTTCATTTTCTGAGACACTGAGTTATTGTCTAGAGCTTGTTTAGACTCCAAAACTAACTTTATCTCATCTTCAACATTCAAAAAGGGGAAGGAGTTGTGATTGACTCCAGAGAGAAGATTCTCCCTTGCTATACTATCTCCAATGCAGAATGGCTTTTCCATAATTCTACCTTGTCTCTGTCCATTTACATAAGCTGTTTCCAACATGAAACAATCTAGTAAATCGATAGACACATAATTTTAGTTGAATAAGATCAACAGTTTAACTTGCCTGTAGATACTTGTAGAAAGAGTTTAAGATTGTGGCATTGTTTTGCAAAGTTGATAAGGCGGCTTGGTCCTCCAGTGTTTATATCAAGTGCAATATCGTACCTGACTTTCATCACATATATTTGTTAGATATACTTGAGAAAACATGAACATACACTATTCCAAATGTAAAATTTCCAACAACCTTTCATCAAAAGTTGTATTAGCAGCTGAATTCACAATTATGTCAACCTCTTTGGCTATCATTTTGGATGTATCTTCATCAATTCCTAGATTAGACTCACAAACATTTCCTACCACAGGTACCAACTTGGTCAACATGAAAGTCTGATAAAATTTCCCATGGACTTGTTTGAGGGACTTGAATATATCAGCATTGAGGATCTAAACATGTGAGAGAACTGTTAAAAGGTTGAAAAGGACCAAAACAGAAAAATATTATGACTAAATAAGATTAATGCATACTTCATTCTTCAATCTCTTCATAGCATGTTCTTTGTTCTTTGCCTTGATCAAGATGAATATTTTGTTCACATCAGGTGCTGTCCTTAACATCTTCTCAATTAGAACTGAATTTCCAGCAGAGCGAAAAAGGTGTTAGGAAAATCAATAGCATAGAAAGAAAAAATGAACAACAACAATCTCAATCCCAAGCCTCGGCTATATGAATTGTCTTATCCATATTGCCTCATTTAAGCTCATCTTAGTCTAATACGAAAAAAAATTATGCATTGGAAATAACCTTTTCCCAGAAAACCAGTTGCACCAGTAATGAGAAATGCTTTTCCCCTCAGAAACTTGGTAATGCCTATACCATCATCATGCCTTTCATAAGGCACCAAATCTTTCACCTTAATTTCAGCTTGGCTGTTACTATTTGGACTCAAAACCAAACTTCCTGCAGCCTCCATAAAAGCTGTGCTATGATCCGATCTAATCACCGATGACCTAGAAGACGATTTTATAACATTTGTACCACTACTTTGGCAATATATCATGTTGTCAACTTTCTTGGCAGGGCATCTTGTGGAATTATTAGACAATTTCAAAGCAGTTGTTGATATAACAGAGCAAGAACTTAGAGTGCTCAAAGCCTCCATTGATGCAAAAGGGAAAGAAGAAAAAAAAAGTTTAAAGGAAAATAGCAGGAAAGGTTATAGCTATGAGGTGCAAAGATAGCCTGCAGCAATCTACTAGCTAGCTAATCACTGTTTTCTTGATTATTTTTTTTACTTTTTCTTTTTTTTAAAGAAAAGAAAGTGAGAAACAAGTTAACTAACAAGTTTCTATATTATAAGTGAGTTTGGTTTGATCTAAGAGGGAGGGAAAGATTGAGGGAATGTGAAGAAAAAGAAGGTTTGGTTTAGGGATATTTAAAAGGAAGAGGAGATGAAAGTTAGGAGAATGAAAAAAAGGCACTCTTTTTGCCTCTTTCTTCACACTAATAACCAATGGCTAAGTTGGCGGGAGTAATTTATATACTTGTTCTCATTTGATTATTCAACTTTGGTGTATAAAAAAGTCAAGAAAGTATATAAGAATAAAGAGTGTGATAATTGTGGGAAGAAAATTGTGCGAGAAAGTGGAGTCAAAATGGGAAATGGCACCATTGGTCAGCTATTTTAGTGTGGAGAAAAAATTATTACTTTCCATTCTTATAGACCAAAAATTATTAATTTTTTCATTCTTACAACTTGTGACTTGATATTTGGAAACACAGGGCAGAGTGTTGTATGTATCATGGCCATGGGGTAGGACGTTCGCCATATAAATTTGTGGAAGCAGAGGGGTGAAGTATTTTACCTATCATAGGCAGGGGCGGAGGCAGAGAGCGAGTTACGGTTTCGGCCGAACCCAATAGCTTTGGTTTACACTCTGTATTTGTTTGATGAAATTCATTAAACATGTACAAATAATTAATTTAGAACTAGGGGCGAAGGTATATATCCCTAAGGGTGGTCAACTGACCATCCTTGATCGAAAAATTACACACACACACACACATATATAGGTAAAATATTAGATTTTAATGGTATATAACATAAATTGAACACCCTTTATCGGAGATTTTTTACTTATTTCAAGTTTGAACACCCTAAATGAAATTCCTGGCTTCGCCACTGTTTAGAACTCAGTAACTTAAAAATAATTAGAATTCCGAACCTATAAGCTTCAAATCCTGGCTCCGCCTCTGATCATATGGCAGGACATTAGCCCTAACCCACAAAATTTTATAAAAATAAATTTTGAGATAAAATATACAAATTATTGAAAATGCATCGAAATTGCATGAAATTCAAAATTAAAAGATGTACATAAATTGATTTAACTTTCTCGGTAATATTACATAACAACATTGTTTTAAGTCATAAATATAATTATTATATAAGTTATATTCAAAATTCTAAAAAAAGATCCAAAAAGGTAACGTCTTTAGCCATGCAGAGCAGACAATTTAATGACAAAAAGTAATATTGTGACATTTTCGCTCTAGATTACTTCAGAATTAATAGTCTTTTACAGGAGCTACTATAGTGTTTAATTGCTGAATAAGATTGACTTCCACCTTGACATGATTAAACTTGAGTTGCAAAAGAAAAAGCACACGGTCTATTTCACTAATCTTGTCCATTTCCTCGTCGGGAGTAGAGGCGTAGGCAGGGTTAAAGGATTCAAAAAAAAAGGAAAAAGTTAAAAATCAATGACCTTACACAGGTTATGAACCCCTTGACCACTAAGTTATGCTTTTGGTCTGTGTCAAAGGGATTCAAAATATAATATATAGAAATCAAAAACAGATTTTACCTTATATATAAAGTATAATTTTTCGGCGAAGGGGATCCGAGTGAACACCCTTCTGCCCCCTAAATCCGCCCCTGCACGGGAGGAGTAGATTGCAATTGCTGCCTCAATGGCCAGATCTTCCATGTGTGACTGAAGAGCTCCAAGTGGAAAATGCCTTGATTTAGAGAACTCGCCATCCATATTTTGGTCAGCCCTAATAAACAACATAGGTATGCTGCAGTGTAAGCTACATCCTCACCATTGATAGCTACATCCTCAGCTAGCTACAATGGCGAAGCTAGAAATTTTCCCAAGGGTGTCCAAATTTAAAAGAAGTGAAAAAAATTTCTGACACAGGGTGTTCAATATGTGTTATATAACTCTAAAATATAATATTTTAGCTATGTACACAGTGCAATTTTTCGACAAAGGATTGTCAGTTAACCACCCTTGTTACCATGTGACTTGCCACTGCTCAGCTAGTCATTAACGTCTTTACTCGTATGATCTTATCGAGATTTTTAAAGACACTTTTGCTCTAGTTTAGTTCAGAATTAATAGTCTTTTAAAACATGTGACAACCCCTTTCTTGTACACTAGTAAGATGTTAAGGACATATTCCGTTCCAAAAGAAACGATAGAATTCTATATTTGGAAACAATTTAACTTTAAACAATTTCATTCTTAGTGAAAAGTTTTGATAGTCACACAAATGTCATGGCCTTACAAAGCTTTTACCCTTAAGCTTTTAGGATTATATATTTCAAAAGTTCATCTAAATTGAAGCGAAGGAAAGGAAGTATATTTCAGGCCAAATAGGACTTCTTGTTCGTCCCTCCTTTGGGACAATTATATTAGAAGGTCTTCTAGAGCTACCGTTCCCTCCCTTTCTTGTTCTGTTAATGACTGAAGTCAAAATTGTCATCATCTTCTTGTCCTTCTCTTTTGTCCAATTATACTACTCCGCATATACCGTTATTTGGTGAAAGTAGAATGTCAATGTGCATATTACGTTCTTGACTGCAAGTTTACCTTGAAATTTGACTATTTCTGTCCTTTGAGTCTTAGATGATAATAACACCCATGACCCACTCTCAAAAGTTTTACATCATTTTAGTTGAACGCAACAAATCAAGTGAAGGAATTTGCGCTGTTTTTGTTCCAGAAAGTCACACCCAAAAGGCCAAATTCTATATTTGTCTTGTAAAAGACACTCTCAATGAGGACTAGATTAACGTCCCCTGTTGATGCTATATCCTTCTCTTTTCCTTTTCTTCTTCTTGAATAGTCGACGACTTTGATCAACACTTGAAACAAAAGTAATAAAAAATGAAAGTTCATACATTTCATAATTTGAGGATCACTAACACTACTAAAAATCTGCTTAAATTCGTCCAAGAAAACCGATCAAAATCGGTCGGAAATTGTAAAAAAGCGATCGATTTCCAACCGTTTTTAATTGGTCGGAAAAATGATGGTCGCTAACATGTTGCGACCGAAATCAGTCGAAATTTTCGTTGACTGGCCGTCAAACTTCACTTACCGACCAAAATCAATCGGTATTAATTAAATTTTTTAATATTTAATTTTCAAATACCGACCGAAATCGGTCAAAATTTTAAGTAAAAGATAATTTAATTTAAATATGTAATTATTTATAAATTGTAATTTATTTAAGTAAATAAATTTAAATTCATAATTTCCAGCCAAGTTCGATTGGAAAATTTGAATTTCTGGGCAAAAACTAAGCAGAAAATGCCTGCTTTTAAGCTACACCTGACAATTACAACCAATATACATCCTATAATGGCAGCATTACATTGCTGTCATTCAACCATAATTAATCAACAACAACAACAATTAACTAACAACAATAACAACAATTATCTAACAATAACAACAATTAACCAACAACGCTAATAACAACAACGCCAACCCCAAAAACAACTATACAAATGTTCAATAACAAAATAATATCAACAATACAATCATCATTCAAAACTAGTCTCAACAATAATTATAATTATGAAGGACTACCTATAACCGCCTTTTAAGTCAGTTGATTGTATAAATAATTTTTATATAATATTCATTGAGTTATCGAGGACTAGTAATGAAGTTTACACATTTGAACTAGGTTTTTAAAAAAAATGGCTCGCTACACTAACAAATACCACAAAATTATGCCCGTTTTACACTGATTGTCCCCCTAAGGAAATGTTCTTTAAATATAGTGCCCGTTTTATATTTTATTACAAAAATCAACTTTTTCTTTACGAAAACATCATAGTTCTTCAATATTTGAGCTTTAAATTATTGTTTGGGGTGAAACTGAAAATTAATGATCAATTATTATTAAAATTAAATAAAGACTGATAAGTTATGCTTAAATTATTAGGTCAACACTCATTTAGTAATTTGTTTTAAAATCTCAAACCTTCATTGTTGATCCTGAGAAATTGTTGAAAAAGAGAAAATGGATCTTTTTGATTTGGTATTATTTGACCAAATTAGTGAATGAGAATCATTTGTGTTAGTATTTAGAGGTTTTGTTTTAAATTTGGGATCATTCGGAGCGGATTTGAGGTGGTTTGATCGAAATTGCAATTGTTATTTTAAAGAACACTTTGTTGATCTCAACATAGATAAATTATGTTGATCGGGTAGATTTTGATGAACGATTTAACAAATAGGTCGATTGCAGATAACACAAAGTCATGCCAATATGGTAGAGTTTGGTGACCAATTGTGACGACCCGGTCAGTCGTCTCATGAGTTACTGCTCCGTTTTCTCCATTTCTGCTTCTTTATGCTTTTTTTATCCGTGTTATGTGGTATCGGGTTGGTCGGATCGAATTCAGAATGATTTTGGTAGGGTTTGAGACACTTAGTCTCTTTTGAGGAAGCTTAAGTTGGAAAAGTCAACCGGATGTTGACTTATGTGTTAAAGGACTCGAATGTAAAATCCAATGGTTCGGATAGCTTCGAGAGGTGATTTGGGACTTGAGAGCGTGATCAGAATGAGTTTTGGAGGTTCGGAGTAGATCTAGGCTTGAATTGGCGAAGTTGATATTTTGGTGATTTCCGGTTGATAGGCAAGATTTTCATTCCGAGAGTTGCAGTAGTTCTGTTGTGTCATTTGGGATGTGCGTGCAAAATTTCAAGTCATTTAGACGTAGTTTGGTTGGGTTTTTGATCAAAAGCGTAAATTAGAATATTTTGGAATTCTTAGGCTTAAATCCGATGCGAATTTGGTGTTTCGATATTGTTTTGAGCGTTCCGAAGGTTGGAACAAGTTTGAATGAGGTTATGGGATATGTTGGCATATTTGGTTGAGGTC